ATTTTCTAAAAATAACTTGGCCTCTTTTATCTCTTATTTGTAAAAGCTCATTTATTACTGTTCCTTCTGATAAAGCTTTCCTTCTGAGGTCATTTGGCTTTTACCTGCACTCCCCTGCATATATAAACTTCTTCTTGCCTTCTTTCTTCTGTACCCAGGAGGCAAGTTTGATTGGTCGTTCCAGTAAGGTAACAGATGTCCAGAGAAGGAAAGTGGTTTAGGCAGGGACACTCAGCAGGTGATACATAGGAAAACTCCTAGGTCTCATCCCTCTGCTGTTTACATTCTCACTTGATTGGGACTTAGAAATGCCTGTTGGTACTTCATGTAATCTCTTGTATGTTAGAGATTACTTTGGGTCAAGCCAGTTTTATATGCCAAGCAATAGAAATCTAGAGGAAGGACGGAGTTATACAAAAAACATAAATTCTGGACTCTAGCACACATGGCTTCAAATCCTGGCTCCATGCCTTTAACAGTTGTTGATACACTTTTATAACTTCTATAACTCTCCAGTCCTTAGTTTTCTTATGTGTAAAATGGTGATAATATTTTGCTAGACTGTTGTGTATACCACAAAGAGTATATGGAAAAGCCTTAAGATAATACTCAGCACAGAGCGGGTGCAACAATAACAACAACAAAAAAAATAGTACAGCTATTATTGTTACTAAGAGTAAAAGGGCTTCAAAGGCAATGAAGGTCAGTTAGTTCAGTTCTTATAATCACATAGCAAACTTTGAGTTTAGTCCCTGTATAGGAAGGGAGGAAAAGCATACTTGAGATAGACTCAAGAATTCTTACAAGTAGATGCTAAACATTAAACAAAAGAAAAAATATAATGTAGTAAAATCCAGGCTTGTGTCCTGGTATCTGTCAAACTCGAGCTGACTTTTGCATCTACAAAAAGGGAAATACTTCATTCCCAAAGCTTTCCTACAGGATAGTCTCTCCAGCTGGCCCATCCATTACCCCCATGTGGAAGACTAGCTTTTCATGAGCTATATTTCAGGTGTCTATTATGGTGCCTACTCCAGTGATGGAGCAGGAGAAACTAAGTCCAACCCCATTTGTATAGCAGTTTACTGGAGAGCCTATGGGCTTTTAGACAGATGAATTTCTGAAAACCATATCTGAATCCTGAAGGGAAGCAAAGACATGCCTGAAGGAAAGTCTGTAACCATCCAGTAGCACCAAGCACATACCCACAATACTCTGAAAAGAGAAGAAATGCTTTCTGATCTAAATCTAAATCTACTCAGAGCCTGCAGCCCCAAGGGGTGCCTGTAAATGTCAACATCTGGACGTAGGCACTGTGAAAGCAGAACACACATCTGCCCTGGAGGCACTTGGAAAAACATGTCACATGTGGGCCTCTCTCATCCCTCTCTTCCTTTTTCAGACATTACAGGTGATCTACCCCTACACCCCACAGAATGACGATGAGCTGGAGCTGGTCCCTGGGGACTTCATCTTCATGTCTCCCATGGAACAGACCAGCACCAGTGAGGGCTGGATCTACGGCACCTCCTTAACCACCGGCTGTTCTGGACTACTGCCTGAGAATTACATCACCAAGGCTGATGAATGTAGCACCTGGATATTTCATGGGTAAGCTGACTCAAAGTTCTTTGCCTGCTGTTTTTTGAAGAACATTGTGGATTTTCAGGAGGTGGCAGGGAAATGGACTTCATTCTAGACACACTGGGCAGTAATTACAGTAAATGGAGTCCATGGGGAAGAAAGTCTGTTAGTTCCAGATCTCCAATAAGGAACTGACTTGGGGCACAGGAAAAATGAGCAATGGATCGCTCTGTTTCACTCTGCCTGTCTCATTTGATGTAACTACCTGTCTGAGTTCCAGATCAAAGACTAAATCGGGGCTGCTTAGGGGTCCACCTCTTATGACTGAAATGTGGGTCATCCCGGTGCTGAATTTTCATGGCTTTCAGGTTTCTGTCCACTTTGTCCTGGGTCGTTGCTCAGAGTGGTCTGACTCCCCACAGCAGCAAGGCAGTTTCCCCTACACCATCCAGATCAGTAATGAAAGGGTTTGCAAGCATTAGGAGTCCTAACTGCCACTTACTTACTTGGTGGCCCTTAGAGCAAGTCCTCAGAATTGGCACACAAATGCCTAGATGACAGAGAGTATGTATAAGGAAATGGGCAACTGCCAGAACCTAAAATGACACATGGTCCCCACCCCCCGCCGCCCCCGCAGTCACTCATTTCTCACTAAACCAAACTGCTCTCATGTTCAGAGTGGCCTGTGTTGTATGGCCAGCTTTTTCTCAGTAGATAAAATAGGAATAAAAGGCACCTTCTCTTTCCTAATCCAAGAAATTCAAAGCCAGCCCTTCCCTGGCGCACTCAGGCATCTCGCTAGGGTGTGCATGCTGGTTTGTTTTCCTTCCCTCTTGTTCTTTCCATGTGCCAGTGTGGCTGAGGGCCGGAAGTTCTGAGCTCCAGCTGCATGGTGTCTAACATTGTTATTGCCACCATAAAAGAGAAGCAGAGTGGTGAGATTTCAGTGAGTACGTTGCCTGGAGGGAGAAAAGGAAAAAAGGTCCCCTACCCTGGTTAGCAGCCAGCAGACAAACCACAAACCCGAAGATGGAAAAGAACATCTTCTTCCTTAGTCACCCAGTACCCAGCAACTCCTTCCTCTTCCTTCCAGTCCACCCCTAACTCCTGCCCCATGAACATCCAGTGTTGTGTGGCACAAATTGGAAGGTTGAAGCTGCCTTATGTTCCCTAAATGTTTTTTTTTTTCCAGAAATGTTTCTGAACATTGAAATAAATAAGTTGGGTTTCCAAAGTTACTATTTTATCATTATGAAAACAAGTGAAGCATAATATACATGAATAAACAGAATTAAAAGGTTCTTGTTGATGAACTGTTCTTAGATTACTTTCTTAAGAGTAGGGTCACATATAAAAGAATAGTATGTGGGAAGCCCTGCTGACTTATTTCAGATCACTATATCCATGCCCACTCTTGCCCAAATTAGAGTTCAGGCTGAAACATGGGTAAACCTAAGCGACTTCAGTCCATGGATCACAGGGAGGTCTGTATGTTATCTCCTTTTAATTTGAAAAATTACTAGTGATGTTATTTCCCAGGAAACCATGTCTGAAATTAAACTATCACCTTCCACAGCAAACCCTACTGAGAGTGGGGAAATATTAACATTAGGTGTTAGAATGTTATAATTAAGAATTTGACGTTTTCTTCCAGCAGTCTTGGATTCAAATCCTAACTCTCCCACCTACCAGCTGTGTGAACTTGGCCAAGTTACATTACCTCTCCGAACCTCTGTTTGTTAATCTATAAAATGAAGATGGTAATTATTTGCAATTAACTCACAGGGGTGTTGTGAAGACTGCAATAAAAGACAGCTTTACATGGATCAGTGCCACATATATAATAGCACTTAATCTAAAGTAGTCATTAACTTTATGATCTTTGGGGAGGTCTTTTTTCTAATTTGTGTTTTCTAGTACTCTTATATATTCTTCAAATCAAATGTCTCCTCTACAAAAATGATTCTACAGAAGAGTTGCACTTTCCTACTTAACCCTGGAAGTGGAAATGACTCAGGGAGGCGAGTTTTCTCTCACCTCTAACCAAAGAGAGACTCAAGGAGGTAGAGCCTCAGGGAGTGATGGAGCATGACCTGGCTGACTTGATGGGAAGTTGTAAAGGGGATTCAAGCAACAAGTAAAGCCTTAGGGTCTCTGACCCTTCACAATCCTTCCTACCTAGTCCTCAGTTGTCTGAGTCCATCCTAAGGAAATATTCTCCTTCTACCCTTTATTAGAGCATCTTGCCTGGTTCTTAGTATCCCTAGATATTTGTCAATTCGTAAAGCCACATCATGTCTTCTGAATCAGGGTGGTCTGGCTGGTACTTCTGGGCTTACATATAGAACTGTTGTGTCCTAGGGAGGTACCAGTGCCTTCCTGGTACTTAAGAAGACGTTTCAGGAGTCAGCTTCCTCCCTATGCTTCTCTCAACATAAAGCGTCTGACTGTTGTCTTACTGGAACTGACAGCCCCAAACTGTCTCAGAGTGAGTCAGGCCCTTTGATTACGGTGACAGTTAAGAGAAGGAGGTTGGCATTCTCCTTGCCAACTGAGCTAAAGGAGAAAGAGACGGGATTCTATCAGTGTCTTCACAGCTATAATAAATGAAATTAAGGGGCAGGTACAAGCATGATGTCAAGACAATTACATCCAGACATTTCACGCCCTGAAGCTTTGATGAATCAGACAGTGAAAGTGAATTTTCTTTAACTGTGTGATGTTTGGGAGAGTCTCAGTTTAAAATAAAGGAGAACAGATGGTCTATTAGACTATGTGAAGGGCATAAGATTTCTTTGGTTTACAGTTGCTTAAATTTTACCATAATAGGTCTTATTTGACTGTATATCACACTTCTTGATACAGCTTTGTTAAACTGTAGATCCCTGGGTCCCACCCCAGACTTGCAAATCATAATCTGTTAAGAGTGGGGCCCAAGCATGAGTATGTTTTAAATCTCCCCTGGTGATTCTGATATGCACAAGGGCTGAAACCTCACATTTTTTAGGGCTTGTGTCTTCTGTGACCTTTGTGTATTTACAGTCAAAGAAAGGGATACTTCAAAGAGTGAAAAGGGTGCTAAAACCATACAGTTTTTTGAAAGAATTTGTACTAACAACCAATTAGCTTTTTATTGTAACTATGAAAAGTTCTTTGCAAAATTAAATTCTAGGAATAATACTGTGTTAAAAATGAACAATCAAGAACAGATGTGTTAAACTGCACAGATTGCTGGGTCAGCAGATAAAAACCAGGGCTATGCTGGGCAAACTGGGTTGCATGTTAGCCTCGTTGTAAAGAAGCAAGAAATCAAAAGTTTCAGTGTTCTCCCTTGATCTGCCCAGTGATACAGAAGGAGTTGTTCACAGATTTGCCTAACAATCATACTTAAATTGCAATGTTTATTAGATAAAGCTTTTTGGAGGTCTTAAATAATGAAAATAATTTCAACGTGAAATGATTTGCTGCCTCCCTTTCAGCAAGACCTCTTTTAGGCTTCTGTAGTTATATTGTTACACCCAGAAATGAGAGTTCTTGGCTCACAACTTTAAACCCCTTTCTCCATCTCACTTCCAACAAGATGATTAAATACAGAATTATTTAAACTATTAAGTTATTTAATTATTAAAGAGGAGGTCATTCTCACCAGGTATGTAGAGACTGAAGAAGGTAGAATAGGGTATATGGCTATAAGGTTTCCTTGACCATTAGGAGCTGCAGGCAAAGTGATAGAGACAATAAAAATGTTCCCTCTAATTTGTCAGTTTAGATGGACATCACCATGGAAAAGATTAAAGGAAACAGGAATTATTTCTTTTGAGCCAGAAAAATAGCTGGGAACAATGGTGCAAAATTGATACCTCATTATTCTTTAACATGCCTTTGGTGCCAACCATGCCTGTGGCATCTTAATAAGCACAAAATCATAGGCTCCATCCTTTCCCAGAAAGATGAATTCATCTGCTTCAAGTACAGAAATCCATCTACCCCCTTTATTAACTGCAAGATTTCAGCATAAAACAAGATGTTCCAGGAGTGGGGCACCCCCTACTCAGATTTCCCTACCATTGCACTGCCCAGGGAGCAGTTCCTGTTAGTCCAAGGATGACATGCTGATGACTTCTAGCCAAAGCAGTTAATATCTTCCTTATCTTCCTCTGTAGTTCTTGCTCGATCTTAAATACATCATCTTCCAATGCTCTCTCATTTGGTGATGGCATGTTGGAGAGGCGCTCATATGAGGACCAGGGCCTGGGGGAGATGACTCCCCTGACTATCATCTGCCAGCCCACACAGGTAAGGCTGACTGCCAGGATCACATCCTCCACTCTACTCAAGAGTCACTGATTACCTATGAACCAAGTGTGAGGCTGCTAAGATACACAAAATTTCAAGACTAGGAAGAGTCAAATGGATGACCCTGACAATGACTACCAGCATCTGGGTCTGGTCTTGTAAGGAGGGGTATGCTGCAGAGGGGAGAACATGTTACCTGTAAAAAAGTAATCATTGTATGTATTTTGCAGGCCATTGTGAAGATTAAAGGAAATAGGGTAGGGGGTGAAAAGGTGAAGAAGAATAAGAGGTACAAACTTCCAGTTATAAAATAAATAAGTTATGGGAATGTAATATACAGCACAGGGAATATAGTCAATAATATCATAATAAATTTGGACAGTGACAAATTTATTATGATATTATTTATTTATTAATTTGGTTACTAAATTTATTTATTAATTTGGTTACTAAATTTATCATGGTGATCACACCGTAAGGTATATAAATGTCAAATCACTATTTTGTACATCTGAAACTAATATAATGTTGTATGTCAACTAATGAAAAATATTAAATATTAAATATTTAAGGAAATATAAATAATAAGGCTCTTAGCACAGTACCTGGTGCATAGTGAGTGTTCAGTGTATGTTGGAGTGCTCCGTATATGCCAGAAAGTTTGCAGAATGAGAGTGGGAAGAGTCGTTTTGAACAATACAGACAAAGGCAAGTTGAAAGTTCAAACATGTTGAGAATCATGAGACTAGATCACATTGGCTAGAGCCCAGGGCTTGAATTAGGGAACAGTGGGAGAAGAGATGGGGAAGACTATGCCACCATGTTACATATTAATTTTGTCAGGGCAACTGGAAACAAATGTAAATGCTGGCCAACATGAAGCTGGCAGCACTAAGGAAACTTGGAATAGCTGACTCTATCAGAAAGAAGGAATAAATAAACATTTATAACAATCCACTCTGCAGTTATAGAAACCAAAGTCGTTTGGACGCGCCGTTGACTAGACTCGCCTATTTCATCACCCAGAAGTAGCAGTAGTCCTTCTTGAATCATTTCTGGGAATACGAACGTGTATGTAGTTGGACAACAGAGCCTAAACTGTGATTAGAATTGACAAACCAGACCTTATTGCTGGAGGAGACCATTGAACCATGTGCTCTAACCACACATTAGAAATAAGGTAGACATATTTGTGACAATAAAAGTCTTCACTCCCTGAAGAAGCTGATGAAACAGCTCTTTAGGGCAAGAAGTTGTCCCACTAGATGGCTATCTCTACATACTGGCTAGTTTTATCTCTGAGCTGTAACTCAAGTGGCTTTCATATTTTAGTATTGGCCAAACACCACTCCTGCTAATAATAGTAGCAGCAACAATAATACCATTTTCATAACCCTTCTTATTTTGCAAAGCACCTGCAGTTCAACTCATCTGACCCTCAAAATAACTTGTGAGATCTGTAGAATGAGTCTTACTATCCCCATTTTACAGATAGGCCACCCAAAATACAAGGTAGGTAAGGGGCTTATCCAAGTCATACATTGGCAGAACTTACTCTGAAGCTCCAGGACATGTCAACTTTTTCATGTTTTCCTCACTAATAGCCTTTCTTTATCTGCAGCCTCTGAGAGTCAACAGCCAGCCTGGGCCTCAAAAGAGATGCCTCTTTGTGTGTCGGCATGGTGAGAGGATGGATGTCGTGTTTGGGAAGTACTGGCTATCCCAGTGCTTTGATGCCAAAGGTGAGTAACTGGTAGGCCTGCTCAGCATTGGCATTCCTATTATGGCCTCTAGGGGGCACAGTCAAGCTACATTTATCTAGATGGAGTCATATGGTTACGTGGGCTATAGAAAAATCCGTAATCTGTTACATTCGTAAATCCTTCCTGTATGTCTTGAGTGTTAAGAAAAAGGTAAATGTTCTTGTCTCTATTCTATAAACTGGGACACCAGGGACCAAAGAAGGCAAATATTTTACCATGATCTTGTAGCAATTTCAGAGTTAGAGACAGGTATCCTCATTTCACAGCCAGAATTCCCACCATTAAATCACCCTGGCTTATTTTAATTCCTTTTTTATTCGAGTGGCACGTTTAAGATAGGGAGACTTGCATATCAAAGAAGCCCTCCTGCTTTAGAGTGTCTGGTTTCTACTCTTGTCACTTTTGTCAGCAGAATGAAGAAGTAGATTCTAAGACGCTCCACCAAAGGAAAAGTGTAAGCCTTGGTATTTTCTAGAGAGCTCAATTTAGTCCCTTTGGCCAAAAAGGAATAAAAATGGAGAGGCTATGAGGATCAGCAATGGAAGTCTTAAGGAAATAAGGAACTCACATAGCCTTTGACTTTTCTCTAGGCCGCTATATACGCACCAACTTGAACATGCCTCATAGCTTACCTCAGAGAAGTGGTGGTTTCCGGGATTACGAGAAAGATGCTCCTATCACTGTGTTTGGATGCATGCAAGCAAGACTAGTGGGTAAGTGTCCTGGAGTGATTGCACAGCCATTCCTGGTCACGTCCTCAGAATGCTGGTTCCAATAGGCATGTCAGCACACTTCTCGGGAATTCCATAACTTTCCTAAAAGTAGTAAATTTCCTCAAGGGATTTCTTATGTAACCATTAAGTTGAGCGCACTGCGTTTGGCATGGTTTACCAAAGTGAACAAGGTGTAACTCCTACTGAGGGGCATATGATCCAGTAATGGGGCAAGGTTAGACTTGGTGTGGCAGAGAGGTCAGCTTCTAGCACAAGGGAAAGGAGAAGGGAACCCTGGAGTGGCTGAATGTATGGAGGCCAATTGATCCTTTTCAGATGCTCAGTTCTATGCAGAGAATGTGCCACACAGAGACAGCAGCATTGTCCTGTAAAATCACCTAACACATATTGATTGATCACTTATTTTGTGCAAGTACTGTGCTAGATATTGGGGATCTAAGCATGAATCCCCACCCTCAGGGAAACAAACTTATAAGTACATAAATAACTTACAGTATAGTATTCAAAAATAAAAGTATGTGTGGAGAATTATGGAAGCACAAAAAAAGACACATAAGAGATAAGAGGTAAGCTGAGACCTGAAGTGGAAGTCAGCTGGGCAAAGAAGGAACGAGGGTGTGGAAGGGAATTCTCAGTGAGAACAACATAAAGTCATACACATGAGAAACAGCATAAAGAGTATGGAGGAAACAAGTTATCTTATTTCTAGAGCATAGATTGTGAGCAAGGCATAAAATTAGGCTGGCAAAACGAATAAAGACAATTTCACAAAAGACCTTGACCACCATATTAAGGTGTTTAGACTTTATCCAGTAGAGAAAAGACATGGATTCCATAAGAAATGTGTTGAAGTATCAGGTGTTGGGATTTACTTCTAGTGTCCAAGAATAGTTGAAACTTTGTTTAGCACAGGATAAAATTAAAACAAGACCTAATTTTCACCATATAGACCCTCTCACTTTTATCACAAACTTGAAATTAGCATTATCATGTTTCTAGGTCTCTCGGATGGACATTTTGCCACTTATCAGCACCAGGGAAAAGGAAAGAAAAAGATAAGAAGGGGCCTTTCATTTGGTCTCTCATAGAAACTCTGATCAAGGGATTTGTTGGAAACAAGGCTGAAACTACTGGCTCTGTGTAAGCCCCCAGTGAAAAAGGGAGATTTGCAGCATCTACCTGGTACCCTCTCCCACATTGAAGGTCAAGCCAAGGCTGAGTAAATCCATCAAATTGATTCCCCTTTGGTTTTCTTTGCAGGGGAAGCCTTATTAGAGAGTAACACCATTATTGATCACATCTATTGCTCCCCATCCTTGCGCTGTGTTCAGACTGCATACAACATCTTGAAAGGTAAGACTTGTTAAAGGTCAGCTAGTCCATTCTTCTGTCTCCAGGCAGATTTGTAGGACATTAGCCAATTGAAACCTTCAAATTTGGACTTTTTAGCAATGATTCTTTCAGAGTATGTCTCTACAAAAGTCCCAAAACAGTACTCTGGCAGCAAAAGCACTATGAAAGGAAGTATACAAATAATTTTTTTCTTGAATATTATTTTCTTGAATGAATTGTGGGAGTGTAAAATATTGTTGCCTGGTAATAATTTAAAGTTTACGGAGTGATCCTTTCTCTTTACTGAAATAGCGAAGCCACTTCCTCCCACTCTGCTCTGTTTGCCTCTTATTTTCAGCAGCAGTGGTGCTTCTAAGTATCTGCCCATCTTAATCATCCCTATTTCTTTAGTTATTTGGAATGATTTTAAAAGCACCATTGCTATAAAGATACTCGAATTTTGCCATAAAATCTATGGAGGCTTAAGATAGAGGGATCACCATTCTCATTCCCCTGGAAAGAAAACGAGAAGAACAGTGTTGAAATGTTTACCTATTCCGAACAAACAAATGAGCCAGAAATAGCTGAGCCAACAAAGAATTTACACTATATTTGAGACTTCTATTCATTAATCTTAAGTAAACCAGAATGCATTTATGTATTAAAATGCATTATATATTAAATTTGTACAGAAAAATTAAGGCAATATAAAGAGAGTTAAACAAGGACAATTCCTGTCTTGAGTGTGATTACACTATGATGTGGGACTCGTGCCCTGGCATTTGTAAATATTCAACATCAGAAAATCTGATAGAGAAAATGAATAATTTACACAATATTCAAATACAATGTAAACTATTGTAGAGTAGTGGATGCTAAAAGAATTTCTGAAATTTCTTCATAAGGCAATCTTGGAACTTACTTTGGAAAAAGGGATGATATTAGTCACGGAACTGTATAAATTATATGGGTAATGACTTGTTGTTTTTTCGTTAAGCCAGATACCACTGAAAGCCAGAGTATTAAACTCATATATTTGTAACACACAAAAAAAATTAAAAACCCTGGTCCAAACCCACATTTCCAGTTTCTTTTCATTATATGTAGCATCTGGTAGGAAAGAGAATAGAAGGTTTACCAGAATTTTTATAACAATTTGACCTCTAATTTACTTTCCCACTGAGAACATGGTGGTGTTTCCATCATCTTCCTATTATTTTACCTCTAAGGTTTACAACAAGAAAATCACTTGAAGATTCGTGTAGAGCCTGGCTTATTTGAGTGGACAAAATGGGTTGCTGGGAACACATTACCTGCGTGGATACCTCCATCAGAGTTAGCTGCAGCCAACCTGAGTGTTGATACAACCTACAGGTAACCCTCTGAAACTGCTATTTCCTGAGGCCAAAGTAGAAGTGCTTCACTACTCCAGGCCAGGCTACTTAAAGAGATGAAGGACCAAACATAGCCCACAAGCAATTCTCCATATTGGAGGAGGTCAAGCTATAATTTGAAAAAGCAAAACTGGAAAAAAGCCAGCATTCCCTTGTATTTAGCATAGTTTACATTATATCTCTATACACACATTGGATTTTCCTGACTTTATTACAACTCTTTCAGTAAATAATAAAGCCACTTTGTGTTCCAGGAGCAGGCACCAGCAAATAATGACAGATTTCCAGAAGCTTTTTGGAAGATAAAGGAAATTATAATGTCTTACCTTGGATTGTCATTTTTAATTTTTCAAAGCATTTTTAATTTTCTTTATCTTTATTTATTATTGCCATAACCCCAGAATGTAGGCAAGCCACTTTTATATATAAGAGGGTACAAGTGGCTTTGCCTAAAGTTGTACATTTAGTGACTACACATGATAATAATAATAATAGTAACAATAACTTTTATTGATTATTTTCTGCATGTGAAGCACTGTGTGATCTGCTTTACAATTTTCTCATTCCTAGTTCTTTGCTTTTTACCATTGTACCAGACTGTCTATACTGGAATTAAAAAGAAATGTTTGTACATTGCTCACAGGTGAATAATCCACATGTAAACAAGAATTAACCAACAATAATATAGTTACATTAACTATCAAAAATCTACTCAGACATTTGTAAAATATCTTGGAGGAGGAACAGCTATTCACAACCAATATAGTGGGGAATAAAGTTTGTATTTCTTAGGGCAGAATTTGGAGCAAGTGACCAATGTAAGCATAAATTTCTTTCTTGTGATATCCCTTGACCTTTCATTTCAAATACATACCCAAACCACAAATAAAACCATGTGAGTTTCCGGCTAAGGAAGAAGAAAATATCTTTTTCTCATACTCATTTTCCTGCTCTGCAAATAAGACCTCAAATAACCCCATAAATTAATGTGTGCTACTTTTTCTTGCTTTAAAGGAATTTGCATTCCTCAAAAATAAAATTATATCAATCAGATTCCATACTAATATCCTTTACATTTGTCCTTTACAAGCTATGGCCACTATTTTTCTATTATTTGAGGAAAACAGCAATAAATTGTTGTTCCCATGCCAATAGCCATCATCCTTCTGGCCTGGAAAGAAGGTAGGTGAGTTGCTGCCAACATTGGTAAAATGACTTTCCTCACTTACCACCCAGCACCTCCCAGACCAACCTGGGCCAACTATGTCTTCAGCTTCCTCTTTAAGTGTGTCCTGCAGTTCTTCCCAAGCTGATTTACAAAGGTCTCCAGAATCGTTCCATATGATCCTTTCAGTGCACGCAAACACATCCAGGCACACACCGATAACACATCCCATCAACAGTACAAGCAGAATAATGAATGCAAGGAATGTGGGGGTCAGAATGTGGTCCTTATTCCAGATTTTCTTTTCCTCTACAGAAAAATCAAAATTCAATTCAGTCATTTGTGTTTAAGGGGGATAAAAAGGTTAAGATGCTAATTTTGTAAATCAACTGAGAAAGTCAGTGATAAAGCATGTGAGAAGCACCACCTCTAGAGCTAAATTCCCTCTGAAATTAGTTATGCAAAGTGAGCGGGCCTTCTGAAGCAAGTAGTGGTGTCCAAATGGTCGGAGAAACATTGAGATAGGCAAAGACTGATAGCCAGGGTATTATAAGTCAAGCAAGCATCACTTAAAGAGACCTGTCACCTTAGAGCAGGAGGGAGACAAGACTGGAAGCCGGGTTGAGGGAAACTAAGGAGGCTGGTGACTCATAGCCAAGAGCCATCCACAGGCATCAAGACCCAGCACAGGGGCTGGGTGTAGAAAGCATCTTGGGTCTTAGGGAGCTGGCCTAGAAGAAGCAAGGCAGGAAAAATATATATATATATATATATTTGGAAAAAAAATATATATATATGGAAAAGAAACTGTACTGAATAGTACTGCATCGATGTTGATTCCTTAGTTTGCAGAATTGTAATATCATTGTGGGAGGTGTTAATATCAAGGGGAGCTGGGTGAAGCGTATGTAAGAACTCTGAGTCATATTTGCAACTCTTCTGCAAGTGTAAACACACACACACACACACACACACACACACACATACACACACCAGTTGGATGGGACTGCATATATATATACACACACACCAGTTGGATGGGGCTGCAGAACAGGGTCTTGGCTAAGGATGATAGAGAATTAGTGGGGGCATGGATCTGAAGTGTTAGAGGGGCAATGAATCAAAATGTCGTATGGGGCTCAAGACAGAAACCTGCTCTACAGTCTTGACTCAAGCAGGGTGAGGAATAGAGTGTACTGGGGAGAAAATTGTTCCAGGAATGCTCCCTGAGCACCTAGAGCTCAGGGTCCCAGGTTTAGTTGGTGATTGGAGGCCTACCTGACTCTCAGTATAGTACATGAGTCCTGCAAGTGTGGCTAGAGCATGGTATGTGCTGCTGACAGGGGTGAGAAAGCTTTGACTCTGTCCTATTCCCATCAGGACTGGTGGCTCAAACATGGAAGCCATTCCTAGGTTCCACTTCAAGGCAAGAACTGCCAAAGTAAAGAACTGGATCCCAACATTTACCTGCTCTTACTTAAACAAGTCTTATAAATTACAACATGGTCTCACCCTTGAAACTATTCTCTGGACCATACAAAGAAGCCTTTTGTCACAGGTGAGGGAGGAGCCCTGTGGGAGACCAGGTGACATAAGTGATAAAAGAACTAGATGAGAGATTTGGATGGGGGAAAAAGTTTGTTCCAGAACACCAGGGTACATCCTTAACAGGTGGTGATTCATGTCTTCCTCTGGCCCCCAGGGCGTCATAAGATTCCTAGGAGAAATAGGCTTGCTGAGAGAAAGTTATTTAGATGAGGGCAGGTTTTCTTCAAATAGAACAGCATCCTTCCTCTCTGGACAGAAAACACAGAGAGGCAGCCTTGAGGAGGATCCTGTCAAAAATGGTCCAAAGTGGAGGACAAGTTTACAGGCATTGATCAGACCCAAGTTTAAATCCAGGCTCTAAAAGTTGCTAATAGTGTGAGCATAGGCAAGTCATCTGTAGCCTTTCTGAGCCTCACTTTTGTCATTCATAAACTCAAGATTTACCAAATAGTTGCTAGAAGGGCTCTAGTTAAAGAATGCAAGAAGCTGCTTTGCACAGAGCCTGACACATGGGAAACTTTCAGTAATTCTTTGTAGTAATACTAGTAGTAGTAGCAGCAGTAATGTATTCTGATCAAGATTTTGTGTGAATTCACTTTGAGAACTCACTACCACTTTTACCCACCATGCTCTAAATACCAAAAATGAAAGACAAAATAAGAAAACAGAAAATATGACATAGTTGTACTAAAAAAAAACAAGATAAATACCTCATAGACCAGAAACCCTAAATAGTAAAGGAACCTAATGTCAGCTTTAAAACCTATCCTTTCAACTCCCCAAATCATTTTACAAGGCCAGAATTACCCTGATACCAAAGCCAGATAAGGATACTACAAGAAAAGAGAACTACAAACCAATATTCTTGATGTAAAAAATTCTCAACAAAATATTAACAAAATGAATTCAACAGCATACTAAAAGTATCACACATCATAATCAAGTAGGATTTATCCCTAAGATGCAAGGATGGTTCAACATATAAATATCAGTAAACGTGATACACCACAATAGAAAGATGAAAGATAAAAATCATATGATCATCTCAATAGATGAAGAAGAAAACATTTGACAAAATACACCATCCATTCATGATAAAAACACTCAATGAATTGGGTGTCAAAGGAATATACCTCAACAAAATGAAGGCCATATGTGATGAGGCCACAATTAACATCATACTCAATGGTGAAAGGTTGAAAGTTGTTCCTCTAAGATCAGAAACAAGACAAGGATGCCTACTTTCACCACTCCTATTTAACATGGTACTAAAAATCCTAGCCAGAGAAATCAAGCAAGAAAACAAATAAATAAAAGGTATCCAAACTGAAAAGGAAGAAGCAAAATTGTCTTTGTTTGCAGATAGGATTTTACATATTGAAAATCCTAAAGATTCCACCATAAAATTATCAGAGCTAATCAACAAACTCAATAAAGCTGCAGATACAAATTCAACATACAGAAATCAATTGTGTTTCTGTACACTAGCAATGACTCATTTGAAAAAAGAATAAAACAATCTCATTCACAATGGCATCAACGACAATATAATACTTAGGAATAAATTTAACCAAGTAGGTGAAATATCTATATAAGGAAAACTACAAGACTTTAGTGAAAGAAATCAAACATGTAAACAAGTCGAAAGATATCCCACATTCATGAATTGGAAGGATTAATATTGTTAAACTGCCTGTACCACCCAAAGCCACCTATAGATTAAGTGTAATTGCTATTGAAATTCTAATGACACTTTTTACAGAAATAGAAAAAACAATCCTAAAATTTGTATGGAACCGTGAAAGAAAGCATCACACTTCCTGATTCCAAACTATACTACAAAACTATAGTAATCCTAACAATATAGTACTGGCATAAAATAAACACATACACCATACAATGGAACAGAATCAAGAGCCCAGAAATAAACCCTCAACTAATATTTGACAAAGGAGCCAAGAATGCTCAATGGAGAAAAGATAGTTTCTAAAATAAATGTTGTTGGGAAAGCTGGATAACCACTTTCAAAAGAATGAAACTGAACACCTGTCATACATCACTCACAAAAATTAATTCAAAATAGATTAAAGACTTAAACATAAGAACTGAAACCATAAAAAATCTGGGCGACAACATAGGAAAAAACTCCTTGACTTTAGGTTTGGCAACGATTTTTTGGATATAATACCAAAAGTACAAGTAACAAAAGCCAAAATTAATAAGTGGGACTGCATCAAACTAAAAGACTTCTACAAAGCAAAAGAAACAATCAACAAAATGACAAGGCAACCTACAGAATAGGAGAAAATATTTGCAAATCATATATCTGATAAGGGGTTAATATCCAAAATATATGAAGAACTCACACAACTCAGTAGTAAAATAAAAGCAATCCAATTAAAAATGGGCAGAGGAACCGAATCGATATTTTCTCAAAGAAGACATACAAATGGCCAACAGGACCACGAAAAGATGCTCAACATCACTAATCATGGAAATGCAAATCAAAACCACAACGAGATATCACCGCACACCTGTTAGAATGGTTATCATCAAAAAGACAGGAGATATCAAGTGTTAGCAAGAAAGTGGAGAAACAGGGAATCCTCCTACATTATTGGTGGGAATGTAAATAGGTGCAGCCTCTACAGAAAACAGTATGGAGTTTACTCAAAATGTTAAAAATAGAACTACCATGTGATCCTTCAATCCCACCTCTGGGTACATATCCAAAGGAAATAAAAACATGAGCTCCAAGAGATATCTGCACATGCTATTACTTATGTAGAATCTAAAACAGCCAAACTCAGAGAAACAGACAGTAGAGTGGTGGTTAGCAGGGACTGGGGAAAATGGGGAGATGCTGGTCAAAGGGTACAAACTTCCAGTTATAAGATAAATAAGTTCTGGGGATCTAACATACAGCATGATGATTATAATTAATAATACTATATTGTATACTTGAAAGTCACTAAGAGAGTGCATATTAAATGTCCTCACCACAAAAAAAAAAAAGAAAAAGAATAGTGTTACATGATGGAGGTGTTATCTAAGGTTATGGTGATTATTATTTTGCAATATATACGTATCAAATGAAAATGTCTTACACCCCAAACTTACACAATGTTATATGTTAATTATATCCCATTAAAGCTGGAACAAAATTTAAAAATAAAACCTATCCTTTCTGCTTATAGTTTTAAAGGCTATGGTAGAGAGGCTTAGGAGATATCTGGTGATCTAAATAGATAATGAGATCTACCCTCCACTTTGCTTGCTATTGGCTCTGTGGCCCAGGACTGTTGGTCAATAAAATAAGTCAAACTGCTTATGAGTCAGCTTGCAAGTGAAACCTGCACTGAATATTTCATTTTTCAACTGTTCATTCTGCCACCATGCACTCAAATCCTTTATTTATGTACAGTCTGTACATTTCAACCCCACTTCTGTATAACAGAAATTCTCTTCCCTCTAATTCCTTCCTTTCTAGGGAAATGGATAAACAGAATTATGGAAACTTTAGAAAGGTCTTAAAAGCTTAGAGTAATATAAATTCCTTTGTCTTGGGACCAAAATGTTTTATTGTCTTTATTCATTTTTCTATTACAGACCTCACATTCCAGTAAGCAAATTAGTGGTTTCAGAATCCTATGACACTTATATCAGTAGAAGTTTCCAAGTAACAAAAGAAATAATAAGTGAATGTAAAAGTAAAGGTAAGTGGTATTATTTTGGATTTCATATTTAAATATGTGACTGTTTCTCCATCATGGTTAATAAGCTATTCAAGATGTTTCAACTTGCTTTGGTAGACTTACTTAATAGGAAAGAAAAAATATTTCCAGACTTTTCTTGTAGATACTTTCTGTTAAATTGTAATATTCTCTTGGATACCTAAAATGGTAGATATTCCGTGGGAATGCACCAGACTTAGCTACTCTATGAAATAACTTAGATTCTGCATTCCATCTATTTATCTTGCACTCTGTGAAGAAGGTTTTCTATTACAATTTCAAAAAGTTCTTTAGTATAACATTGTTTTGTCTATGATTTGATCCAGGAGCGTGGATACCCACACACAAATACACCTACACAAACACACATGCCATTACTGTTACCACCAAACAAAGAGTGTTCTGTGAGACTCAAGTCTGTTTGCTATTGATTTTATAAACACTGAACTCAAATATTTGATGAGATGTAGAACTAACTGTTCATTATAATTTTTGTGTGTGTGAAAAAGGCAGATTACAAAGGAGTATGTACATTCCTATAGCTTTTTTAAGATAAAATATTTGCCTTCATACAGTAAAAACTGGAATTATATACACCGAAATGTTAGCAGTGGATAGCCCTGGTCAGCAGTATATGGATGATTCCCACCTTTTAGTTATCACTCAGAAAGCCCATCACTTCATGACAATTTCCATGCTCCTGCTGTAGATACTCAGCATGTTCTAGCCACCGGAAAGTCTCAAGTGCTTACAGTTACTGAAAATTATATTGGGAGCAGCAGAGAGCACTGTAGGCAAAGTTTTGTATCTTGATAGTGATGGTGTTTACAAAAAGTTATACATGAAATAGAATTAGGTGAAACCTGGTAAAATCTAAATAAGCTATGTGGATTGTACCAGTGTCCATTTCCTGATTTTGATAGTGTACCAGTTAAGCAAGATGTTACCATTGGAAGAGGCTGGGTGTGTGGGACCTTCCTGGTGTATGTATGGGTGTGTGTATGCACGCACGTGCGAGTGCATGTGCCTATTGTACTATATATACACTATATATATATACCCACACATATATAGTGCAATATATATAGTGTATATAATATACAATTGTATTGTATATATGCTATATGTACAGTTGACCCTTGAATAATGCAGTGGTTAAGGGCACCAACCCCAACACAGTCAGAAATCTACATATAACTTTTGACTCCCCTGTAATTTAAGTACTAATAGCCTACTATTGACCAAAAGCCCTACTGATAACATAAACAGTTGATTAATACATATTTTGTATGTTATATGTATTATATACTAAATTCTTACAATAAAGTAAGCTAGAGAAAAGAGTATTATTAAGAAAATCATAAAGAAGAGAAAATACATTTAAAGCATTTATTGAAAAAAATCACATATAAGTGGATCCACACAATTCAAACCTATGTTGTTGAAGGGTGAACTATAATTTTATATATACATGTGTATATTTGTAACCTCCTCTGAATCTATAATTAATTTAAAATTAAAGGCTTTTTTAAAATAACCTTAGGCTGCCTTAACAATACAAAGCATTTTCAAAATATTGCTTGGCCAAATTGTCTCCTTGACAATGTTTGCCCCTCCCTGAAACGCTTGGCTTCTAGTACTTACAAAGTTTACATATGTCTTTATAGAAATGGTCTTCCCAGTCCTTGCTTTTTTCATCCAGGAAATAACATCCTGATTGTGGCCCATGCATCCTCCCTTGAAGCATGTACCTGCCAACTTCAGGGCCTGTCACCTCAGAACTCCAAGGACTTTGTACAAATGGTCCGAAAGGTAATTCATGCTTGCATTTCAAGGGTTTGTGATGCCCAGTAATTCTAGAACAGTTCAATGACTGGCTGATAGCTAAATTCTTTGAAGCATGTTTTCTGAGCTGGGAAGATGCATTTATTGATTCTCTCAACCAAGATATATTGAGTGGTACTCTGTGTGAGGCACTTTATTAGACCTTGTATATGAGAAAGAGGCATGTCTGAGCTAGTTCTAGTTTCTAAGAGCTAAGTAGCTAAGAATTATAAGCAAATTTTCTGGATTTCCCTGAGGGACTGTGGATTGGATAAAGAAGAGTGAGTGGCCCAAAACGCAGCATCTGACAGCTCAGCCAGAAGAGAGGTCCTGGCCGGTAGGCCAAAGGAAGCAGTGATTTAAAATGTCAGGCTGAAAGGCAGACCCAGGAACAAGGCAGTGAGACACAAAACCCATGAGACCGACACATCTGGATTCTTTCTTCCTCTTGCCTGTGAAAGAGTTTTCTCTGTCAGCCTCCCTCCCACACACTTCCCTCTAGGCTGACTTATATGCTTCCTTTATCTGCCCCCAGAGAACCTAGTTCAAACTTGATTGTAGTTCTTTTCTAATTTTTTAAAAGTTTATTTATGCATCTCTCTTTCCCATTACTCTGTAAGCTACCTGAAGGCAGAGATTGTTGTCTTGTTTATAAATGCAGCTCTGGACACACACAAAAATAAACTTTTAAATGCCAGGACTACTGAAGTTAGGAAGGGCACAGCTTCAATTTTGAATGTTACAGATACACATGCAAAAAAAATTAAATAACTAAGTAAAGCTGGGTGAAGCAAATTAACAACTTTTCAAAAACTGAATAATCTTTTCCATTGTCTAAGTATAATTTCAAGAAATGTTTGAGCTGCATTTTTAGCTTTACCTGCAATTAGGAAAGTAGGAATTAACTTGCAGCACCTTAGCTTTATATATTATTGTCCTCTTTTCTCCCACTATTAAGAAGCAAGCTGTAAACAATTACTTAATTGCAGTAGCGAAGCTCACCATTGAATGAATCCTTCTGATGAATCCTTTTGCAATGTAAATAGTCTTTCCTCTATCCACTTCATCTATTTAATTTTCTTTATGGATTTTTTGGAAGGGATGCATGTCTACGAAGCCCCTATTAATTTCTATGACTATTCCTTATTCTCAAGGGCCACCTGAATTTCTTTGTGTCTAAGTAACAGTTAAATCATTAAACCTCTGTTTTCTATTTTCCATTTTTTTTTACTACTCTTACTTCAGATTCCATACTTGGGATTTTGTTCCTGTGAAGAATTGGGAGAAACTGGAATATGGCAGCTGACAGATCCACCTATCCTTCCTCTTACCCATGGACCAACTGGGGGATTCAATTGGAGAGAGACCTTGCTACAAGAATAAACCACACCAGTGAACGAAAAGATAAGGCTTTAGAAAGCCTTTGGGAGAAGTGTCATTTTTTGTGTTTAGTAACGATGAAAAATTTGCACCATATTCTAAGTGGACAGCTCAGAATAATTTAGCATATTTCCTTTCATGCTTTAAAATTCTTGTGATGAGACTGTGTGAATAAGAGAAAGACTTGATTCAGGGATAAAATCCATTCTCTCTGGACTCTTTTGAAAATTGTCTTCCTAACTTGAGACACCACTACGGCAGAGGATGTATTCTTCCTTCCATCTATGCATAGTCAACCACCCTGAGTACTCCCAAAGGGAGCTGCCAGCCTATCCAGAGGAAGGATGCAGGAGGAAGGACATGTCCAGAATCCAGCTGGAGTGACACTGAGCTGCCAGTTTGGTGTTGGGATTTTCTTTTTAACACCATGTTCCTGCTAGGTAAAGCCAGGCAGAGGAATTTTTTTCAGGTTATCAGAAAACATGCCCCGCAGAGAGTTATTCTTAGGTTAAACTTCAAATTCTGCCCTCAATATGACCCATACACCAGTGCTGCTGGCTCTAGACTCCTGCTTGAGGAATCTGACACTTACTCTCTCTGGTACCACCACATTTTCTCTAGAGCAGCTGGCTACAGCTTTCTGCAACAGCCCTTCCCCCTTGCATCTATATGTGAAATGGAGAGACAAAGCACTTTGCTCTCCAAAGCACTTTTGGATACTCAGGAGGAAGATAAGATAAATGTGTAAAGTATTCCACTGTAGGAGCAAAGAACTTGTAAAATATAAAGTGACTTGGAATTATCTATGTTGTAACTGAAAGAGCCACAGCACTTCTGAATCATTGTGGTTACTTCTTTGGCCCTAGAGTCTGGACTATGGTAACTAGTTAAGGAAGTTAACATTTTGAAAGGATGTATGTTAGACACATTAATTGATCAGTAAAGTGCTCATTCTTGTGCAATATGGACACCTTTACAAATCATACCAAGGGTCAGATCATTGTCCACTTATCTATGGAATATGTCAATCATAACAGGACATCCACAAATGCATCAGTTATACCAGGGAAGTATTATGAAGTCAGGGAACTAATTTAAATGACAGTCATGACTGCACTGCTACTTATGCTGTCATTTTTTGTTTGTTTGTTTTTCTATGATAACTTAAAATATGAAGGTAGGGCTACTTAAGGAAAATTGGGAGAGCCACATCCTGTGGTTTCCCATCATACCTGCTTCCTAAATTTAGAGGGAGTTTATTTAAAAGAAAAATAAATGACAATCAAGCCAAAACATCAGTCATCAATGTCTATTTAATTGTCTGAATAGCTGACTGCTGACGGCAGCAGACAATGAATGGTCTGGTGTAGTAGAGTTCACTGTGTAGAATATGTGTGCAAAATGAAATCCCAGCCATTTAAATGGAACTTTAATGTAAAAACAAATCAATATACATTGTAGCATTGAATAAACTTCAAAACCCCAGTGCATAAAACATATGGTATATAAAAATAAATCATTGCTCCTATTTGAAATGGGAATTTGATGATCTCTGAAAAGAAGAGGGCTCAAAAGCGTGCCAGCTGTGTACATTAATCAGCAATAGGATTATAGTCAGGGTTTTTTAAGGTCAGAGAAATATGTCATGAATTTTACATTTTAAGAAAGAAATCTTAATGTCTTCTAGCATTGCACAAACACTGATCCAGCTTCTGGGTATAGAAATAACTCTACACTGACATCATTGATTAATATAAATGTTTTAACCTTAAAATGAGGGAAAGACTCCTGTTAAAGATTTCAAGAGAAACTTCACATTACAGCTAATGTAGTGGCGCTGCCATTCATTCTTTTATCTATAAGAAAGTAAATCTACTGTTTAATCAGATCTATAATGTTTATTAGATTCTGTTCATGGACTTTCAATGCTCAGAATAATGCTGGAACACCACACAAGATTTCCTTGAAAATAGTAGCAGTATGCCATGGGCTGTATCTGTGCTTACACTGAATAGGTTATCCTCTCCCTCCTTCCAAGTTGTCTTAGCCCTCTAATGACCTAATAGGTTAGTTTGCTGGACTACGATCCACTGTCCTGAGTCCAATACAGACAGAGCCTTAGGCTATCATCTACTCCATCAAAAGGAGGCAGAGATCTGAAATCATTTTCTGAATAATTTAGGTGGAAAACCCTAAGTAAACAAAGAGGTTTTTCCTCTGCTTTAGTTATCCAGATTGTTTATCAAAATAACCTGAACAATCTGAATTCACATTAAATTCTTTTTACACATTTACCTATTTAAACAACTAAACTTGGACTTCAATTGAGAAATTCTTTAGAAATCATGTTGACTCTATGTGTAAAAGAAGAAACAAAATTTTATATTCATCCAAACATTCTAGGTTGATATTACAACCTGAAGTTCAGGCTAGTTCTTTTCTATTTTAGTCTGATGCTTATTAAGAACAACTGTTGATAAGGGGAAGATGGAAGGAAGAAAAGGAAAGAAGGAAGGAAGGAAGGAAGGAAGGAAGGAAGGAAGGAAGGAAGGAAGGAAGGAAATGCCAGGAAGGAAGGAAGGAAGGAAGGAAGGAAGGAAGGAAGGAAGGAAGGAAGGAAATGCCAGATAAGAAGAACCAGATGATTTCTTGTAGAGAGGATTTGTTTTTTTAAGGTAGAAAGTTATCTGAGACAAACAGATGAAATTAACTAAATGATTTAATCGGGGATTGAAAGTCTGAAACAGTTTGCTGCTTGCACAAGTGTGCCACATCAATCCACTAATACCCCAGTATTATTCACAGATGGGACTTTGGTTTCCATGATTTTAAAATGCCACATCTTTTCCTCTGTGGGCTAGAATAATTGGCACATTTTAATGCACAAGCTGGGAGTTTCATTTTCCCAGGCTCTCTTCTCCATCACTGCATTGGTAGCTAGGAGCTTATTGCTTCACCCCACTATGGAGTTCAGAATACAGTGTTTTCTATTACATTTACATTCATAGAATCTGAATAGCTGATTAAATGGCCATCTGATGGCTGAAAGAAGGAGGTATTTTTCACCCTCTAGCAAAAGGCTTCCAGGAATTGCTACTTTTTATTTGAATTATACTTTAACCAAAGAATTATTTTAAAATAACCTTATATTTAAAAGACGATTTTGCAAAAAATAAAATAAAAATAAAAAATAAAAAATAATATCTTCTGGAGTGATATCAGCTTGGTAAATCACTGTCAATAATTTTCTTGCATTTTAGGCTGATGTGGTCATTTTCCTGTCAGTAGTATTTGGAATGCATATTGATTGTCCTCCAATTGTGTTTAGTATTACCATAATGTATCTTTTCCACTCAATTAGCTGCGTTTGTATTTTTTTTTTTAAAGCCTCTTATTTCAATCACCTAGTGTCATTGGGAACTAATTGAAGAGCTACAGTGAGAGAAGTTCCTATCTCATTTCCTTTGTAGAAAGGCACTCCTGCGTTGTAAAAAAGGAGGCATTCCTCAGTAACCTAGGCACTCTGCTGTGCCAGTGTTTAATTTGAAAGCAGTGATGAATTGCTCTTTTGAATTTACTCAAAGTAATGAGTGTGTTAGAATGCAGATGAACCTCCTTTAATTTTCACAGGCACAGTCACAACTGTACTGTGTCTGCACAAACATCTCAGATAATGAGGCACAGGGTTATTTGCATTTAAATTGTAGTCCTGTACACATGTGAGAACTAAGAGGCACTAGCTGACTGCCTTGCCAGGAGGAACGAAACTGGCAGAGGAGGATGGGTAAAGGTGAGATTTAGCAGCTATTTAGGTTAATATTCGCTTTATAAAGGTAATGGGGGATGTTTTGTTAGGTGATGGCAGATGCTTTTCATCTTTAAACATAGAATTAAAATTGGATTTGCTTCTCTTTACTATTTCAACATATTGAATTTTCCTAGGGAAGTAACTAGCTATAACAAAAAGTCAAGGGAAAGGAAAAAAATACCTCTAAATACAGAAGAAATAACAATTTTTAAATACATATAATGTTATGTTCAGTGTATGTAGGTTTAAAATTATAATGATGAGTAGTCAAACTTAATATGCAATCAGTTCTTACAAATGTTTTACACAGTACCACTTAGCTGCCATTACTCCCACAAAATTGGAATCTTGCAGCTGTTAAACTATTATTCTTGAATTCTGTATAGGATACATATGTATAATGGGAAATATGTACTGGTTCTATTTTTTTGATTGCCACTCAAGATAAGAACACCACCCAAAGCATTTTAGTTATGCATAAACCATTCTAAACCTACTGTTTTTGGAGGCATATTGGTTTCTTTCTCACTTGTAAGGCTATTGTATAATTTTTCCTTTGTGATTCAGGTGTATTTATTTGAAGAAAGAGGTCTGTATAAAAAAGAAAACACACCTAATTGTATTGCCAAATTCCTTGTAAACTACCTGTGGCTTTTGTGCTTTCCTGCCTGTGTGCTCTTTCTCTAGATATAGCTCTGGCACCATTGTAATTAGTTCATTTCATTCCATGAGCATCTCCATTTATTAAGTGGTTCATCAATGATTTAATAAAGAGGAACTGTGTCCTCAGTCAATCCAGAGCGATCTCATATTAAATTCTAGTGCTCTCTATTCCTGACATGTTTTCAGGCGTTATGGTGGTCATAATTGTTTTCTAAATGTCTATTAAGAGTGTGATTCTCCTCTCCAAGGGCCAGAGAGACACTTGCTGCTGTGGAAATGGAAGGATGCTCTGGCGGCACTGCTGGCCCCTGGTCCCTTCTAGTCAGGCATCCCTCTGAGTCATCCAGGCTGAACAGGAGAAAACCCACCCAGGAGTAAAAAGCACGCTCTAAAATGCTTCCACTGCCCATGTGTAAGCCTTCAGTTCTCACCACTACCCACCTTGAAGAGGTGTACTAAGAACCATCCATAGAGTAAGAATTTGGTTAAGAGAGAGGGGAAATCCAACTCGAACTAGGTTCCACACTACTAAAAGCCACAGACCCCATTTTTAAAGTAATGATGTTTTAAGCAGATAGGTTTTTTAAATGCATTTATGAACATTTATGCCCAGGACATAAATGCAGCTTTTCATTGACATGACCAGTTCCTACCCTGGCAGGGTATACTTCCTGAGGAAACATAACAGCTAATGCTCATGTCTGACAAAAGACCAAGCTTTGTTTAGCCTTGTAGCTGGTTCTCAGCTGTTCTCTGCTTGACAGATTCCCAAACTCATTTTGCCCTTTTCTGATGTGTATAAAGGCTGCCTGCACATATCCAAGAAAATGAATCAGTGTGCTTTGGATTTGTTTCAGCTGAAATCAGCAAAAAGTTCTTTTTTTTTTTTTTTTTTTAAGTCGAGGACCAAAAAAACCTTCTTTCTTCTGAAGAAAGAGAATACTTCACTTTACCAGAAATAAACATGTAAAACCCAGATGCTTTGCTCCTGGCCATGAAAAGAATGCTAAGGTTTATTTAGTTTATTGGTTGATATTTTGTTGATGGGGCAATCCAGAAGATCTGTGTATTACTATAGTAGAACCTCATGTTGTTCCAGAGAAAAAGCCTTAATTCACAAGTCAGATAAAGCTAGGTTTTGATCCTGGTTCAGAAGCTTACTTAATCCCTTAAACTCATTTCACCTGTATAATGTGCATGTAATGATTTTTTACAGTATAATTGTTAATATCAAATGGAATAACAAATATAAAATACCTAATACTACATGCTAATAATAAGATACTACATGCTAATAATCACTTTTGCTAAGGCCAAGATAAAAATTACACATCTAGCCATTTTCTTGTCTTGTGAAATATCAAGGACAAGGAATGAAAATAACTATAATCATTTGTACTGATATTCCTTTACTATTCTCCCCATAAGTTAGCTTCTGTAATAACAAGAGAATAGTAAAAATGCATGTGTTGGTTGAATTCTGTGGTTTGTCTAAGAGGCTGCCTTAATGATTTACAAATCTCCTTTCATATAACTTTATGGTTTTAAAAACACTTTCTCATTTGATCCTCATCATATTTTTACAAGGTAAAGAGATATTAATTCCCTGTATGAAAGAAACTAATATACTAAGGCTGTAGACTCATTAAGCATTCTACAATATTGATTGAACATTATGTTCCTAACGGAGTAGCTGGCTCAAGCTACATGGCAAATAAGAAAGCAATGTGCCTGCTCTTATGGAGTTGAGAGATGGACAAAGAACACACAAAATAGACAAGATACATAATTACAGATGCTGATCAATGCTGTTTAGGAGAAAGTAACTGTGAGAGGGATGTGGGACAGGTGGTACTACTTTAGATTGGATGGTCAGGTATATGTTTCTGAGCAGGTGGCAATTAAACTGATAGTTAAGGCTGAGTAGAAGTTGGTCATGATGAAAAGCTAGAAAGGAGGATTTCAAAAGACAGAATGAGTAAAGAAGTCCCCCAGGGGAAAGGAGCCAGCGGGGTTAGTATGGAAGGGGTCAGCAGAAAGTGGGGAAAATGAGGCTGGAGAGATAGGCAGACTCAAAAACACAGGGTCCTGTACACCAGGAATCAGTAAACTATTTCCCACAAGCAGTATCTGGTCCACAGCCTGTGTTTGTATAGTCCACAAGCTAAGAATGTTTTTATAATTATAATGATTGAAAAACATCAAAAGAAGAATATTATTTTATGACACATGATAATCATATGAAATCCAAATTCCAGTGTCTATAAATAGTTTTATTGGCACACAGCCACACTCATTCATTTACATATTGCCTATGGCTACTTCTAGGATACAAGAGCAGAAGTAGTAGTAGAAGCCATATGGCCTACAAAACCTTAAATATTTACTACTTGGCTCTTCACAGAAAAAGTTTGCCAACCTCTACTGTAGACCAGGGTGAAGAATTTGAATTTTGTTCTAAACCTAATGAGTCTGGCACAGAAACTAGTTTACCTAGCATAACAAATTAATAGATTGGTTGTGTCCAGTGGCTGGCAAAGTGACAGTTGTTGTTTATTGAATGCATATATATATCAGGCACTTTTCTAAGTACTTTGTATGTATAAACTTCTTTAATCTTGAAAACCTTATTCAATAGATACTATTATTATTTCCAATTTACAAAAAGAGGAAGCTGAGTGTTTGAAGGGTTCAACAACTTGCCAAAAGTCACATGGCTAATAAGTGTTAGAGCTGAGATTTGATCCATGTAAGCCTGGTTCCGGAATCTAGATTAATAGTTTAAAATATTTTCCTAAAGAAATTTAAAAAAAAAATTGCAGAACTCTAAGGAACCTGGAAGATACTTGGGTTCTTCAGAACAGTTTGGAAACTAATGCTTTTATCCAATCCCCTCATTTGCAGATGAAGACAAAAAGGGAAGTCATTTGTCCTGGGAGAAATCTGTGAGCTGAAACCTAAAGCTAGCTCTTGCTGTTCTGTGGTACAGTCTCCCTGAAGTAAGACCTTATATAAAGACCCTCGTATTATGGGCTTACAGTGTTCCCAGTCTCACTTCTTCTGACCCTATTGTTTGTAACTGCACACAAACTTCGTTTCTTTAACATAGCTTTTTACCTTGTTACTCTTGCCTCCCCTCCAGGTGGCCTAGGAAACAAGCCAAAGCCAAAAAGGCAGCATAGATGGCCTTGACCACTCCCAACTCCCTTAGTTTCCATCACTACTGATTTTTCTCTGTATAATCTGTACTCTCTAGATAATCAGAGACCCAGGCCTTTGCACAATAGCTTGCCTGTGTCTCCGGAACTTGCAATTCTTCAGTAGACACTTATTATATTTAGCCCAGGGGTCTCCAGCCCACAGGGCTGCAGACCAGTACCAGCCCATGGCCTGTTAGGAACCGGGCCACATAGCAAGAAGTGAGTGGTGGGTGAGCTAGAGAAACTTCATCTGTATTTGCAGCTGCTTCCCAGCGCTAGCATCACTGCCTCAGCTCCACCTCAGATCACCAGGCATTAGATTCTCATAGGAGCACCAGTCCCTGGTGCCAAAATGTTTGGGGCCACTGATTAGCCCAAGTCTGTGTTGGTCTTTTGACTGAGTGGCTCAGGCAGCACAAGCCCTGTACTCAGTTGCCATCTGATTTCATCCTAAACCACAATTTTCTTCTGAAATCAGCTCTTACTTGGATTCTGTTTTTGGAATGATCCACTTAATTAGATTAAATTCTAGGTAGAAACCTTAAGAATGAAAGTTTATTGTTCCTATTCTTTTCTAGGCACATCTAACCTACATGGTTCCTGTGGGGATGAAATGTGGCCCCAGCCACATGAGGTCTGCAGATCGATGGAGGATCTATGTGCCACTGTGCTGGGCACTTTGGGTACTATATTTAATTCATACCTCTCAGTCACCTTATGCTATAATTATTCTCCCCATTGTACAAATGAGGAAATTGATAGAGGCAAGTAGTCTGCTCAAGGCTGCATGTCTACCTCCTGCTCCCATAGATAGCCCACTAAGCTTTGCTGCTCATAGGAAACCTTTTTCTCAATCAATAACTAATTACAAAAGCTGCTGCTCTAGCTTGGAAACTCACAGCCACTTTGTGTAAATCTACAATAGTGCTTAAAGAACCCCAGCACTGGGTGTGAACTATCCATCTGAGGCATCTACTAGGAAACACAAGCAAGGCCCTCTCTTGCCCTGGCCTTGGCAAAGGCCACAAATTCTTCACAGGAGTCGTAAAAGGGCAAGAAGAAAGTTTAGGCCCCTTTTGTAATTACAATAAAAACCCCAGTGGCTTTTACACATGGGGAAATCCCCTCTTTTCTGATCCCTAAAACAGTCAGTCGTTCACCTACTTAATAGACATCTTTTTTTTTTTTTCAATTTTTTTCCCCCTGACAATCTACATTGACCAAATGGAGAACAAAATAATAAATTGGCTTTCAGTTGAAAGGCCTCCCACATACAACATGGTCAGCAGACACTTTTCCATTAGAAATAGAAGGTCACTGTCTGACCACTACCCTCTGGCCTCATCTTTTCCTTCCAGCCTGCTAGCAACCACATCAGCTGCTGTCCCCCGCTGAACCCCCTACGGGCTGCAGGCTGAAGTGGGGGTGATGGAAGAGTGGGAAGGACCGTGAAAACCACAAGTGCATGTCATTCACAAGCCTGCCTTGCAGCATTTCCCCCCACAAATCATTTTTAATGTCTGAGTCCAGTGGAGTTTCATGACATTTGTCAAGGTTTGTGACCAGTTGAATATCATACCCATAGGTAAAAGAGATATACCTATTATTGCCCAACGTGAAATTTAAAGTAAGATTTTCTTTAATGCCCTGGAAGAATTATAAGTTAAATATCATTTTAGATTTCAAAACTAAAAAGATCAGTGTTTATATCTTAATTGGAGAGTTCATTCATGCTTTCATTCACTCACTCATTTGAGTCACTCATATTTCAAATGCTGTTGTAGGTCAGGTTTCCTGGGTCAGATGCTGGGATGGAGATTTGTGTGAGAGTTTAAAGGAGAGTGTTCTTGGGGACAATATTTGTGAAGGAAGCAAAATCAGGTGGAGAGAGGAGCTGAACTGAGATGTAGTTGAAAAAGAGGCCTCAGCTGATCCTGATTTCATGGGAGCTCTGGAGCCGGAACCTTTCCCATCAGAGTTGCTCCACTTTTGGCAAGGAGGCAGGACCTTTAAGTCCCCTCCAGGGAGCTCCTTAGAGGAGGTGTGACCTTGGGTGAGATAGTTCTCTTCCACTCAATGCAATTCTTAGAGAAAAATCGGCTGACATGTCCAATCTTTCCAGCCACTAAGAGATCAAGGGAAAACCTGAGTGGCGCATCAGAGTGTATACCTCAAATTCCAACGAAAGAGCAGCATTTTACTACTTCTGCTAACTTCAAACTTTTTAGTCTGAATTAAGAGATTATCGTGAAAGGCAAATGTAGGAACATAATAGTTTCCTTTTATTTGAAGTTTTCCTACAACTGATTTAATTTAATAAACAAGTATTAAAAACTATACTATACTATCATAAACATCCCAGAAGTCCATCTACAGGTGAATGGATAAACAAACTGGTATATTCATATACCAAATTACTGCTTAGCAATAGAAAAGAATGAACTTTCAGCATGTGCTACATCATAGATGAACCTCAATATAAGAATTTCCATATGACCATCAATCCCTCTTCTGGATATTTAACCCCCGAAAATTTGAAAACATTTATCCATAAAGATATATGCACTTCAATGTTCATTGCAGCATTATTCACGGTGAACAAGACATGAAAACAACCAAAATGTCCTTTGATAGATGATTGGATAAAAAAGATGTGAAACATATATACAATGGAATATTAGCCATAAGGAAAGATGAAATACTGACATTTGCAACAACGTGGATGGATCTTGAGATTATTATATTAAGTGAGATAAGTCGGACAGAAAAAGCTGAGAACCATATGGTTTCATTCATATATGGGACATAAAACTGAAAGCAACAAACAAACAAGACAAACAGAGACTCATGGACACAGACAACAGTTTAGTGGTTACTAAAGGGAAGCGGGGAGGGGAGAGGTAGATAAGGGTAAAGGGGATTAAATATATGTGATTTAAGGAAATTTAACTTTAGATGGTGAACACACAAAGCAATATACAGATGATGTATTATTGAATTGTACACTTGAAACCTATATAATTATGTATATGTATGTGTGTGTGTGTGTGTGTGTGTGTGTGTGTGTGTGTATAATTATGCTGAGGGAAAAAACTCAGACAAAAAAAGTACATATTATATGATTCTGTTTATATAAAATTCTACAAAATTAAAACTAATTTATAATGACAGTAAGTAGATCAGCGGTTGCTTTAAAAGGGGAAGTAAAGAGAAACAAAGAGAGGAGAAGATTAAAAAAGGCAAGGGGAAACTTTTAAAAGTGACAGATATGCTCATTATCTTGATTGTGTTGATGATTTCATAGGTGTATGCATATGTCAAAATTTATCAAATTATACACTTCAATCATGTACAGTCCATTATGTCAAATATGTACAGTTCATTATGTCAATTAAAGCTATTTTAAAAACAACTATACTATTATGGATTCTGTGCCAGGCCTCAGGAACACTACTGTAAATAAGGAACAAACTGCTTTCAGGGAGCTCACAGTCTAACAAGGAAGACACATGCATATTCAACTAAATATAAGGCAAATCAAAATAAAAACAAGTATGATAAAAAGAAAAACTATTATGGAGCAAAAAAAGTAGAGAATTGATTTTTTTCTCATGTAGTAAAAACTCATGTAGTATTTACTATGTGCCAGGCACTAAGTACATTAACATCGTTAATTCTCACAACAATCATATGGGTGAGTGCGTCATTATACCCATTTCACAGATGAGGAAACTGAGGCTGTGGTTCCAGAATCCATGATCTTAATCACTAGTTACTACTGCTCTCTGAGAAGTGACACGTTTGATCTGGGCCTTGGAAGATGAATAGAATCTCCACAGAAAAAGAAGGCCATTTTTGGCAGAGAGGGCAATATAAACTATGACGTGGTATAACTACAACTGTGAAAATGTACTATATGCTTAAAATATAACAAGAATTTTCTATGGGTACATATTGGGGAGCGGTGGAAAAGGCAGCTGAAAAGATAGATTGGAGCCAGGGTGTGAATGGCCTTGAATGATTTGCTAGAGTTAAGACTACAACATTCCGGCAAAAGGAAACCAATGAAAGTTTTAGAGTAGAGAATAACACCAAATTTGTGTTTTAGAAAGAGAATGGAAAGCAAAAAGAAAATCTGTCTAAGTTAAATGAACACCTGGCAAATTTCATATTAATCCATTCACGGACATTGTACTAAAACCACATTAAATCAATAGATTTGGGATAGGCTACACTGTAGATTCAAGTTTCAATCACAGAATATTCCATTCTCACAATTGGAAAACAGAGAATCAAAGTGACCTTCTCCAGGCCTCTTACCTGAATTCAGTTCAGAACCAGTCCAACATTTTTCCCCACTGGCTTAACATGAAAAGTCCCATGATGACATTTTTACTTTTGTTTCTCATAAGTTATTTTTAACCTCCTCATACATTCAAGTTATATGATAAGCTCAAGACCTGAAAATTCAACCGATATCTACATCCAGACATTTTGCTGGTTCCATGATGTCATATCTGACACTACTGGAAGTAAAGCTCTTCCTTCTTGTGCTTCAACAGAAAGTGTTAGAAAATCATAGAAGAATAGCACTCTTCTAAGTGAAAATGTTAGAAATTATTAACAAGCCATGGGCAAATCACACCTTCCATGGGAGAGCCAAAGGACTCTATATGCACTTTCTTTGGGCTTTCTTAAGTGGGTAGAAGACAGGTACAAAAATATAGCATCACCCTAAAGCAAGGACACGACATTAGCAGAAAAATCAAATGCTTAGACACCCATGAGCCTTAAATATAAAAACTGGAGTCCCTGGAGAGAATCTTATGGGGAAAAAAATAAGCAGACCAAAGACTCAAAAGTCTTAGTTTGTATTCTCAGTTCTGCCACAAACTCACTGTGTCACCTCAGGCAAATTCCTTAATTCTCTATTTTTAAAAATGGTATAATTCAACCTACTCACTCCTTGCTTCCATAATATTTCAACAAGCATTTAGGAGAACCTTCTATAACCCTCACCACACCAGCTGATAGCAGAGTCAGGGCTATCTCCCACATATCTTGGTTTCTATTCCAGAACACTCTCATTATCAGTATTTCAAACTTGCCCTATGATACCTGGAAAGCCTGTTAAACATAAAGATGGCTCCTCATTCAAGTGAGAGACTAGATGGCTGAATAGATGAAGGGATGGATAGATGGATGGATGATGGATGGGTAGATACACAGATTTTTTTTTTAAATGAGCAAATACATAAAGTAATGAATTCTGCCCCTGATAACCATTATAAATTGTTGCCAGAGTTAGAAATATAAAATATTCCTAAGGATTCAGAAAAAGTCATCTAATTGCAATTGTTTAATAAGTTAGAAAAGTAAAAATAAGGTGACATCACTACACAGGGACATTTTAATATCTCTCCCAGCCCTCCTCCCCCAAAAAAGCCTTGCAACTAGTTGACTTATCAGTACTACCCACATGTGGTAGAATGATTTGTGCCACCAACACATCACTCACATCTCTCCACAATCGAGATGACACATGTGGTCCACTAAATGTTCCACCAGGAGGTGTTTGGGGGGCAGCTAACTAAGAATGGGGCTTCCAGAGCTGATGGAGGAGTTGAAACACATGAGGTCACAGAGCTACTGCCTCTCCCCTTCAAAAAAAACCACTCTGCTCCTTTTATTTCAGAATCTAGAGGAAGTTGACATAGTGTGAGAACAGCACAGCACAATATGTGGTGGAGAGTTTGCAGCTTGCTGGCTTGGTTCCCCTTACAAGGTAAGGACTTAGAGCTAATGTTTTCTAGTGCTCAAATGACCTAATGTTTTGCCAAATCTGTGAAAGTCAACTGCATTCTCATAAGATCTACTACAGAAGACAACCCAGGTAAATTTGCTAACGCTTTCCAAGCCATGCCAAAATTATACATCTGAGGGATGTTATTCACTTATGTCTTCTCTTGCTCAATTGATAAAGGTCATAGAAAGGATTATTGTAGTGTGTGTCTCTGTGGGATCTACATTATGGCAAAATGTAACAAGCTTACTGGATCTGTCTTTTATGAGTATACCAGTTGAAAGAGCATCAATTTTGGATTTTAAAAAACTTCCTTGCTGTATAAGCTTTCATCAAATAATTTCTCTGAAACTCGGTTTCTGCATTTTGAAATGGAGATGATAACAATGTTCGATTGTTATAAAGATCAAATTTCAAATGTGAAAGCACTTTTAAATAGCAAAGTGCTTTACAGGTCCTAATTAGTTCAGAGATAATTAAGAGCCCAATGAAAACTTTGTGTTTAAGAGTCAGTTATAATTTAAATTTTATTATAATTTCACATCTGATTTTTAATTCTAATGTAGCATTATGAAAATTTTAAAAAAAGACTCAGTAATCTTTTGAGCACAGGTCAAATTATGCCTACTCAAAAGTGGGGGCAGAATAGAGGTGGCCCTAAATCTCCAACTGCAACTTGTATCAGGTTCTTGCAGAGGGAACCATAAACAACAGTACTGCTTGCTTGTGTGTGTGTGTGTGTGTGTGTGTGTGTGTGTGTGTGCGCGCGCGCGCTTTTAAATATTGACTCTGGAGTTATGTTTCAGGTAATCCATCTATCTTTCTAAATCTGCAGTCACCATAGAACTGCATCAGAAAGATGCTATTATAAAAAAAACTAGATTTCCTATTTTACTTGTACCTCAATTTTTTATTTTATACACTTTGATTAAAGCTTTCTTTTTAGGTCCCTGTACTCTGAGACACTTGATAAGTATTCAATTTTGGTAATAAATAATATTAGTTTCTTTAATAAGTGGCTTCAAGTATAACTAATATATTCAGAAAAAATACATAGCTAAAATTAGAATGCTTTCATTTACATAGCTAAAATTAGAATGCTTTCAATTATTCCAAAGTTTAAAGCCTTTAACTGATCTTAACTTTTTCAGGATTCAAGTTATTGTTTCATAAAAATACTTCACAAAAATAAATTTTTAAATACAAGCAGCACTAACCATGTCTTCTGGTAAACCTAAGACAAGTTTTTTAGAATATATTCAAATATAATGCATAAAGAGAATCAATAAGTATATTCATTGTGTAATGCACAGTGCTGAGTACTTTGTATTAATTATATTTAATTCTAGCAAAGATACTGAGGTAGGTATCACTATCCCTAATTTACATATTGAGGTTAAAAGAAGTTAGATAACCTGCCCAAGTTTTCACGGCTAGTAAATGACAACATTAATTATCAGCCTGAAAAACACACAATAAAAGTATTATCTCATAAACTTTTAATTGCTGTTTCTGCATGTGTATGTTTGTGTGTGTTCACGCGAGCTGGGTTATAAGAGAAAATATATTTCTTATTATGGATCAAAAGTTAGAAAGCCACTGATTTACACAACTTGGAAGAGTCATTATTTAAAAATCCCAATGTTAAATCTCATCCAAAGAGCCACCCCAAGGGCATCTAGGTTCAATGGTATTTGAGCACTGGTTGCCAACTCTGACTTAATCTTGCTCAAGTCTATTAGAGTTCCAAATAAGAAAGGAACTGGCCATGTTTCTTTTTTGTTGGTAAAAAGGAAGCAAATCATCAATTTTAGCACCGCTAAAAATTATCAGCTGTTTTTAGCTAACCGAATAATGGGAAGATCACTCTATCTTCTTCTACTGTGCAACTTCTAAGGCTGCAAAAAACTATAGACTAGAAAAGTTCTATAATCTTGGAGAATGCACTCTTTTCAAGGCTACTATTGGCATAAATAGCTACTAGAATGGGTAAAACACAATAAGAATGAAGAATTTTTCAAAACTTATCCCACTGACCTATATTGTGGATGATGAAAATCCACCAACTCGCACCCTCTATTCTGGCTATTAAGTGGAGAGTAAGATGAAGGAAACATAAAGAACAGTGACAAATTGAGTGCGGTCCTATTGATTCTTCTTTGTGACCTAAAAAGAGTCACTCGTTTGTTGACACATATTTGAGACAATTTCATTAAAGCTACACTGGAAATCATTTGAATTTGACAAAGTCAGATTCATTTTCACACTTACAATTTTCTCTATTGATTCTATTTAATAATAATTCATTTTTGTAATAATTTGAATGAAAGCACATTTTGCCTGCTACTTAATAACAGTGGTTTAAGAATTAACTCATAGTGCATCTCTGGTTTTTACTTAACTCTAGTCTTTACTACTCAACAGAACAATTACAAAGTTAAGATCTTATTAAAATATTTATTTCTGAATATATACATTTACTCATGTTTAGTCATTAACTCAACTAACACTTAAAATCTTTCTTTCTGCTGGGCCCTGGGAATACATTTGTCATCCATTCAACCAAGTGAATAAATGGTAAATGACTTTCCCAAGAGCAGTTTGCAACCTATCCACAGAGAAATACTTGTTACCAAATAATTATAAAATACTATGCTAAGCACTACAACAGAAGTCTTTCCAAAGCCTTTGAGAATCTGGAGGAGAGACTAAGTAGGTTGTTTTAGGGAGGACAGGGCCTAACGGCTGGTTGGGCAGGTTTGACAAAAGTGGTGTAATCTGAGTTGTCTTGAAGGAGATGAGAAAAGCATTGTAGGCCAAGAGAACAGCGTGAACCAAGGGAAAGTATGTTCTTGAGCCTGGAACCTTCTGAAAACAGCAAATGGCCATTTGCATGGAGCATCTGGAAGGGAGTATCAGCAAAGGATACTGAAGAAGAGAAGAGTCAAGGTATCTGGAATTTTGTCCTGAATCTTACAAGCAATGGGAGCCTTAACAAATATTCTAATGAAGGAACACACATGATCAAATTTATGTTTTTAAAATGTAATTCTAGAAGCAGATGAAAATGATAAATTAGAGGGAGGTGAGATTAGAAGGATATTATCGAAATGGTCCAAAAAAAGAAACAATGGATGCCTCAACTAAGGCAGTAACAGGAGTGGAAAAAAGAAGAAGAAATTGATTAAAGAGATGTGTTGAAGAGACAGGAGACTAGGGTGTCTCTCAAATATCTGGTATGCAGTGGCTGGTGATGACATTATCAGATACAAGAAAACACCTGAACAGAGCAGGAGCTACATCTGTGTTAGATATGTGTTAGGAGTATAAGGAGCAGTAGAAATGATGGGTTCCAATTCCACTTGTCCAATTTAGGGTCCCTGCAGAACAGGCTTGCTCTGTTATACAGTTTTTAAATATCATCTGTAATAATTTGGGCTACTAAATTGAGAAAAAGAAAGAGTACTCTATTCTTTCTTTAGTCTACTGTGATGACCTACAGTAGAAGTGGAGATCACACACTGCAACTGCCAAAACCTTCAGAAAAAAAAAAAAAAAAAAAAACAAGGAATCTTAAGAACCACACAGGTTTTATTTATTTGTGCTTTTGTAGGTGGCTGTGACTGCTGTGTGCCCTTTTGCTTAAGGGTTGATCACATGCACTTTGGCGTAAAGTCATTCCACTGATAGGAAAATTAGTTCATGGGGTTGGGGGTGGAGATAATGGTGAAGGTCACAGGTTCATTTTCCATACATAAACCAGTCACAATCAATAGCCCCAGACTCAATGAGCAGCCTCATAACACATGCTATCCATAATGGATGAATCCAGTCATGGAAGTAATGACCAAGCCCAGAAGTCAATAGTCAGCTCAGTAAATATGATTTACCAGTGCTAAGTGGTGACCTCCCCCCGGGAGAGAAAATCACAGGCAATCATTGCTGATTTCTGTACACTCAACATTTTGGAACCACGTAAAGCTAATTTGAAAACTGGAACTCTGAAGCTCAGATAGGGAGAAGTAAGCAGTAGGCACACAGCACTCTTGGTCTACAGAAGAAAGGCTAAGGGTAAATAAGGATATACATGTTTTAAAAGCCTTCAGAGGAGGAAGTGGTAAGCAGAGAAGATACCCTACACCCCATCTCTCTGACAAAGCAGGTGAAAGTTTGACTCCAAACTTAGATGAAAAACAATTTAAAAGATGAGCTCCAGTTTAGTTTTCAGTGGCAATGAGAAGATCATGGGGAACTTTTCCTTAGAAGATGTGCCATCAAAACCTAAGTACAGCTATCCTCCTCTTCCACCCTTTAACATGACCTAGGCATATTGAACAATATTTGTAAGCACTACGGCTGAAGCAATGTGGGTCTGTGGCTTCTCATTCAGGCTATTCTTCCTTTCTACAATGATTTCCTGTCTCTAAATCAAACATGGGGTCTACATGAAAATACTGAAAAATAAATAAGCCTGTAAAGCCAAAAGCAAGACTTGGAGAAAAAAAGTGAAAAAAACAACAGTATTCTATGCCTCAAACAAAGCCCTTTCCATCTGAAACTCAAGCGTCTATACTTGTGGTCAGTCTGGTCAGCAGCCTGATACTGAATTCTCAACAGCAAGAGCAAACACTAATCTTAAGAGGTACAATTCTTTAGCAATCACTAAAAAGCCATGCTACATTTCACTACAATTTTTAAGACATTGTAAGAATTAAATGACACAATTTAATTAATAATCATGTACCCCAAGAAAAAGGTAATGATACATACATCTTTAAAATGGGAGAAATTTATTTATAAACAGGCTGCAGATACATCTTATCACTCCCATCTCCCCAAATGCAGACAATCTAGACAATCATTTTACTAAAGGGAAGAACACTGGCAAAATTTCTAAGTTTCAACTTCTGGCCCGAAGGATGAAATCAAAGTATATTGCTTAACTCTAGTATTTATTCCATCATTGATTAAATGTAGTAATTTCTCTCCTGTCTCTCGATATTCTTATTAACAACAGGAGAGCAAGGATATCTGTCCACTGCCTGCATTTTAGTGCCATCTTGAAAGCTGGCATTAAACCATTACTCTTCAAGCTCACGCTGTGATAGTTTCTGTAAGGAATGAATTTTAGAGAAATATAAAACATAAAAACTTCAGTCTGTTTTTGGGAAGCAAGATAATGCACAAGAACTAGAGTAAAGCAAGAATCAAACTGGAATATTATGTAAACAATGGAAGTCCGACAGCTCCAAAGTCAAAGTCTTAGCTCAGACGCTGCTTCACTTTAGAAGAAATTCTGTTGTCCTTTCAAAGCATTCTACTAATACTCTTATTACTCAATTATGGGTTGATTTTATAGATGAGAATATTTCCACGTGACTCAACCTAAGCAGAATTCTGGCCGTATGCCTCAATGCCTTTTTGAAAACACGATCTCTTTTTATTGACACTTTGTTGTTCATTATAATATTGGCTGATGATATGGGTATTTTTCCATTACAACTCCAGCAAACTTTTCCCATGAAAGTCAGAATGAATACAATACAGTAATTCTGGCTTATTATTGCCAGAGGCTAGATTGAAATTAGTGACCTAAGAATGGAAAAATAAAAGGCTGCACCAATTAATTCCCACAGATTTCCAGAGCACTTTTCCTAATACTTAAAATTTATCACAAGAAAATAAACTATTCTTGTTTCTTTCTTTTTTTAAAGTTTAAAATAACACAGAAAAACTCATTACATTTGCTATTTATAATTTCTAACCTCATGGTATCTTATGTTTATGGAAGTGCTCTGTCCTTTCATTCATCAGAATCGTCATCCTCAAAAAATTTTTTTAATTTAAAACTTGAAGAAATAATGAACAGCAATAAATGTGCCGAATCAGCTGTAAAGCCAGTTTATTTTTCTATCAATTTCCTTTTGGGGAGTATAAACTTATAGCTGTTTAGAACTAATTGTTTACCATTCTCTGGGGATTGTGATTTGGGGAAATTAGATTCTCAAATTTGGAGAAAGTGCTGCTGTGGAATATTAAATTGGAAGAGATCTGAGACCATCCTCCCTCTGGTATAGAAGCTCTTCTGCAGATGGTACTTAACTGCTCTCTGTGAAGAGCAGCGCCATAATTCACAAGATCACCATGGGTTATAACATTCTATCTTAGAAACCTAGACACACAACTTGTACTTGAAGGTACAAGTTGCTCATTTTATAAACCCAAGGTAAAAAGGCTGACGTTTCTAGGTCTCATCACTTAGATACTCTAACCAAATTACATGGGCATGGACTTTGTAGTGCACAGACCTGGGTACAGATCTCAATTCCAGGACCTGTGTGACTTTGAGACTCTATTCCCTCATCTGTAGAATGATCCAAATAATTCTTCCTTTATAGAGTTACTTTTAAAGTTAAATTGAATATAGGTAACAATTCCCGGCATATGACCGAGCAAGTGCCCAATAGACATTGTTCAACTTCCCCTTTTCTCCTTCTAAGACCCCCACCCTTTCCTTCAGACCTTCAAGAGATGTCTTAACTCACACAGTGCTTGCTCCTTTCCTTGCAGTTTTCGTTTTGTTTCAATAAGAAATATGTGATAAATGATCAAATGGATAAAAGAGGTTGGGTTGAGACTAAGTCTCTGCCTACACTTGGGAGTGACATGGCTTGTGCCAGCCTGATTGTCCCCAATTCTCTTCCTCTGCAGCGGCCTTTCTAACTAACCACACAGAAACCATCACCGTGGAGGAAGGCCAGACACTGACTCTAAAGTGTGTTGTTTCTCAAGCGAAGACCGCCTCCCTGCAGTGGCTTGCTCCGTCAGGGTTCACCATTTTTTTAAATGAGCATCCTGGTAAGTGAAAGAAAAACAAATTACCACGAGACCTCAACCTGAAGGAATTTCCAGACAGACAAGTTGGTGGGACAAAAGGCCAGCATGAGTCATGCAAAGGGTGGGCTTGGCCCCACCAACTGTTATACATGAATCGTACTCAGAAGCCTATTATTTTACACCTGGCTCCTTTTCTGACAGGAAATCTGAAATGGAAACCCCACCAGAATGATTGGTAAAAGGGGCTCAAATTACAAAGCACATTGCCATGTCTTCACCTCACTTCTACATAACTTTTTGAGTTTCAGTGACCTTGAAACAACTGGCAACACAGTGATAGACAGGTAGCCAAATGATTTGGCACCCTTTGTGCTCATGCAACCAACACCATCACCCCATTTTTGGTGTTAGCTGCTTCGTTTTCCATATGAGCAATCCAAACTCACATCACAAAGCTACTTTCCAGATATCTCTTCTTCTTCGTTGGTCTTAACATAAAATCAATATCACTAAGCAATAGGAATTGATAGGACATATTATTTTGGAAAGAAAGGTGGCCACTCCTCTCTTTGTAAACACACATTAAATAAGTCCAAGATGCCTGAGAAGGAAAGAGAATCTTTATTTTTTATTTTTTCAGTGTTATTGAGGTATTATTGACATATAACATTATATTAGTTTAAGGTATACAACAGTGATTTGATATATGGATATACTTGAAAAGGTTACTACAATAAATTTAGTTAACATCCATTACCTCACATTATTATATACATTTTTTCTTGCAGGATTCTTAAAAATTTATTTAATTCATCTCTTTGGACAGGATTTTACTAAACCCTCTCCTTCATAATGACATTATTTTATATCTCCATTTAACATTTCTAACTGCCACATACTTGAAAAAGTCTCTATAACAGCAAATTTTATTCCACTTTGTCAAAGCAGAGCCTCTAAAAATTTTAATATGCTTTAAAAACATTATTAAATATTGATATGTTAAATATAAAATAGCTATATAATTATTCCAAGCTAAATCAACTATTAATACTAGATTCTAATAGAATAAGTAGATACTAAAAAGTTCTGAGAGGAAAGCTTTAGAGATAATTCTGTTATATTATGCTTTCTGTTGTTTTGGTTTGAGTTCATTAAACTTGGAGGAGATGGATATTCTCAAATGTCTACAGCAGAAAACCTTGATCGAGTTTGGTGGTTCCTAACCAGGGCTAATTTTTGCCCTCTACGGGACATTTGACAATGTCTCAACATAGTTTTGCTTGCTATCACTGGAAAAAGGCAAAAGAAGGAGGAGAGTTCTGGCATCTGGTGAGTAAAGAGGCCAGGGATGCTGTTAAGCATCTTAAAATGCACAGAATAGCCCCCACGACAAAGAATTATGAACTCAAATGTCAGTAGTGCTGATGCTGAGAATGCCTAGATTCTAGAATTCCTAGTTCCTGTAGCATCAGTGTCCCAGGACACACAACCATTGTTCTAGATGAGAAACAACCTCTCTTCATCAGCCATTCAAAGTTTAACTATGTTATGTTTGTTCGTATAATAAATCTTAACAGAAAAAAAAAAAGGAAAGGAGGGAGGAAGGAAAGAAAGGAGGAAGACAAAATCACCCATTTCTGCTAAGGGAATTTTGACCTGAGATGGACATCCCATGGAGCTTGCTTTTTTCCCCCTCCCTCTCTCTCTCTAAACACTTGGAAGGACTAACTCATAACCTTTGGGGAACTTCAAATAATAATGACTTTTAAAAATTAAAAATAAAAAGCACCCAGCTGGAGCAATGAATATCAATGCATTTACCTTCCATTCTTCACATTCATTGTGGCAAGACAACATCAAATGAATCAGATTTCAAAGAGGTAAATCATAGTGGGGCATTTTTCATAATGTAAAAAACAAATTATTTAAAATTCTCCTGCGACTTGAATTTTTCACCAGCATAGTATTCTTAATTTCCTACAAACACAAATAAAGCAAATCGTTTATTTCACAGATAACAGTATCAAAATATTTCATTTTCTAAACTAACTTTAAGCTATTAGGAGGTATCCAGCTGGTAACACTAGAATTTGGAAGTCAGCTCAATCAAAGATGTGACATTTGTTCCTTTAAAGTGTGAAAATCAAAAGCTATTCCTGTGAACAATCAATCTACTGAGAGTCTGTATTCATCTGATACCTTTCCTCATAACAGCTCTTTTTCCCTCCTGTACAGCTTTAAAAAATTCCAAATACCAGCTTCTTCATCACTCCCCCAATCAGCTCTTCATCAGCGTGACAAATGTAACACCACAAGATGAAGGCACCTACAAGTGTTTACATTACAGCAACTCCGTGAGAACAAAGGAAATGAAAGTGATCGTGCTGGGTAGGTGCCTGAAAGCCAGTAAACCCAGTATGGGAACAGTATACTTAGGAACATAATAGAACATTTTTAAACTTAATGTTTAATTTTAAAATGTTACCTATAGCAAAGCATTTCCTGGGCACCTCTACCATCTTCTGATGGAAGGAAACAGAAAAAGACATTTTGAGTTGCAAGCCCTAGGTTAAAATGTGAATTTGTGAAATTCATCTTTGGCGTCAACTAAATTTTCTCTTCAAGGAACTAAAAAAAAGAATTGATATTTTATGACCTGCAACTATGTGCCAAATACTGTGCTAAATTCTAGGGAATCAGAGATGAATTAAGCACAATCTCTGCCCACAAAGAGTTTGCATACTAGTTTAGGAAGACACATAAAGTAGAACATTATGACAGCACATCCTAAGATAAAATGAATTCAGATGTAACTGCACTGGACTATCAGCTCACATTCTCTGCCAAAACAAGTTTCTCTCTTCTATTGGGAGGTGGGGTTGAGAGACATGGATAGGTAGTGATAGACTCCTGATCATCTGAGACTTGCTCAGTTCTGTAGATAGTCAGTTGCGTTCAATGTGAGTCTTACTATCTTTACTTTTTGCTTTTTGTGACAGATCAATTAAAAACATTGCTTTTTATTTGTCTCTAAATAACATAATTCCACATATCACACAAATGAATTTCTTAGACTTCTCTTGAATTAGTATAGTGTGATGGCTACCTTCAAGTAATGACATGGTGACAAAGTGTCAAGAAAGAAGTGGCTCCTGGGTGCTTTGAGAACCAATGTGACTCAGCTCACGGG